TTTTTCCTTCGTCCCTTGATTTAACTCGAAACCGGATTCCAGAGACGATGCAAGACGTGAATCTTGTTGCATGCGTGTACTGAACAGGTCGATCACCAAGGACAACCTTAACGCCATACTTTTTTGCTTCTTCATACGCCACGTGAAACTCATCCCCAAGTTGAACTTCCAGTTTCATAGCAAGCTTAAGAGCAAAAAAGTTGTAAATAATGGCAAAAACTTTCTTGTTTCTCTTCCACATCTGCATCATTTCTCCAATTGTTGGAACTTTAAAAAGAGATGTACGAGCAGGGAATAACTCCAGGAAAACAACCTCTGGTTTCAAGAAATCAATCACAGCTTCAACTTCTTGGCAAGATTCCTTCGAAAGATGAGACGTTCCAACCAAATAAACATAACAGACGCCGCCATCCACAGTTGAATCACAACTGAGCATCACCACATTCTTCCAAAGCTCCGGGTCCAGAAACTCCCCCTCATCATCACTACTTTCAGATGAATCCTCAAAATTCTCGAAATCCTCGCCAAAAAGAGAGTCCCCTTCCTCTGCGTGCACAACACAATCAATCCCGGTAGGTGCCGTTACAGATTCAAACCCTGTCACAAGGCGGCGAGAAGAACAAGAGCGCAGGAAAACAAATCCTCCTAATCCCCTCCAAAAATTCAAACATTACAGTAATTCCCTCAAAAAACTTGAGGAAGCCCTGATACCACTTCTTTTATACCCATTACATTTGTGTAATTAGGTACGAAATAATTTCAACCATCAAGATATCCAAAAGCCACAAAATCGATTTTTACGCAATCAATGAAAAACCTAGGTTTCAAATCCAAAAACCTACATTGCAAAAACTTAATCAAACAAATGAACATCAAGTAGATGAGTATTATACTATATAAAAAATCCTCAAACACACAAATATGTTGGGTTAACAAATCATTTTAACTCACCCGTCGAATTTGCGCCCTAGAATGTAGCCCGAACGACCCCCTTGAAACTTAGGTGATGAAGGTCGCTAGCTTAGGGTGAATTTTGGGCTGCCTTCCACCAGCAACGGTGGCGCGAAGGTGGAGGCGACGGCGGAGCGAGGGTGGAGGCAACGGAGGCTCGAGTCTGAGGCTTCTCTGTAAATTCGTCTAGGGAGAGAAACACTTAATAATTTGATTTGATTTATTGTATATGAAACGTTGGCCGAAGACACAAAAGCGCATTGACGCTTTTTTATTTTTAATTTTGTTTTTAGTAATAAGTTTTATATTGAATTTATTTTAATTTAAAAAAACTTCCCTTAATAATTTATTAAGTAATGAAAAGCTTGTAATTAATTATTTTTTAAATTATTTTTAGATTTAATTTTCAGAAATTTTTTAATTTATAATACTTATTTTTTTTGTTACAGTCGGTCCACGTAACAAATATATATAAGATAACTTTTTGTCAAAATTGTATTTGGTATGGATAAATTTTTGTAACAAAAGAAAAAAAGGTTGACCACCGCCCCTTTTTTTTTTGTTTCGACATAAATCATAACATAAACCACTTTTTGTGACGAAACATTAACCCGTTACCAAAAGACCTTTTTTTTTTGGTAGTGATGGATAGTAAACATATGATTTAATTGAACAAAATAATAGTATCCATATTATTAAAAAAAAAACACACACACCATATGTTAATTAATTATTTATTTATTTATCTTTTTGTGATACGCACCATATATTAATTAAAACTATATGTTCTAATCAATATAGAATGTTGATTAGCTTTAATCATCTCATCTTAAAAAAGGCATTGTAGAAAATTTTTTATTTGTGTTTATTTGGGGATTTGAATTTTGAGTTGAGACTTGAATAGTAAAAAAATTAAATTGGAATAGTGGTATAATGAGATATTACTGATGTGATGTTTTAAATTTAAAATTAATTTTTAGTATAATATAAAAAATAAAAAATAAATATTTGATTTAACATTTTTTGGAGGGGAGAAATTTGTATGAATAGTGTTAATTTAGAGTAAATTGTGTATATCATACCCGTGTTTTAATAAATTTGCATGAAATCCCATGTATGAAAAACATTATATAAAAACCCCTTGTATTACAAATATATTGCAGACGCCTCACAATTACTAACAGAGTTAATTTAGTTGTTGAAGTGACCGTTATGCCCTTTGCCTTTAAACTCATTAATCTCTCTTTTATTAAATAAATGAAAACTCATAAAGAATTCTTTTATTAATTAAATGATATTAAATTCCACCAAATGCCCAATTTACATCCACATTCGATTGACGACATATTTGATTAACGAGGATTTGATTCTTCATTCTTTACTCCCGTTTAATGTAGCGAACTGAGTAGGGATTTTGATTCTCCATTCTTCTCTCCCGATAAATCTTATTTTCGACTATTGTTCCCTTAGTCTTTCATGCTCGATCTTAATTTTTGTTGTCAACAGAGGTGGAGGGGTTTTGAAGGTAAGAATATGCTTTTGGCAAACTTCTACAATTTTGTTGGTTTTTTCCCGATATTATTATTCTCATTACTAGAAATCCTAAAAAGAATTTACCCAATGTCATCTTTGGATAAATATTGAGCGTCCTTTTCGGGTTTGAAGTTTTGTATGCGATTCGTTTATTTTATTTTTTTTTTGCGACATCCGGTTGGGAGGGCACCGTGTTTTATAATTGTTTAATTTTGGTAGGATGTGATAAATATACTATTTTTGGTTTGGGTATATTCTAATTTTGTTGTATCTTGTAGAGACCACATGGAAGATTCCCTCGTTGTGTTCTTGTGGCTCGACGGTTACTTACTTTGGGAACTATTCACAAAGTAAATGGAAGGAAGAAAAGTCAAGTTTGAAGGTCTCAATAGGGATAAATTAAATTATTTTACTTTAGTAGATTTATATGTGATGGCTGGTGGGGTGGGGACCAATGTAGAATTTTGTTACGGTTTGCTGGGTAGAAATTTGGAGGGTAAGACAATGTATGTCAGAATAGATCCAAATGTTATAAATCTCTTACGCTTTTATAAGAATGGGTTTTCCATTCAAGTATTTGACACTGAATTGGGGGGCCCTACAGAGAGCTTGGATAATAAAGAGAAAGACTTGATTCGTGCGAGTGAAGTTTTGCATTTATCTTGGAAAGACACAATTATAGAATGTGAGATTGAAGAAGGACAAATAGTAGAATCAATATATGATGAAGGGCAAAGTGCAGAGTTAGAAGACCTACTTGATTCTAATGCAGGGAGACATGATGATCCTGATCCTGATTTTGTTCGAGATGTTGTATGAGAGAATTCAGATACAATTAGAGATTTTAGAAACTATGGTGACAAGAGCAATGATGCTTCAAGTTTCAGAGCTTCTAATGTGCATTGGGGTGGGAATGGAAATCACAGCACACATGAGGCAACAAATATTGATGAAGGGATAGTTGAGGAAGATGCAAGGGAGGCTGATGATGCTACATAATCGGGTGTCAAGAGTTTCATTGAGAGGCTAGGTGGTGGACGTGATAGTGAGAGGGATGAAAGGTTGGAATTGGGTAATGATGATGGTGGTGTAGGTAGATTTGGAGGATTGGCCACAGCTAATGAGAGCAATTATGAGAATCCATCATGGATGTATGATGATTTTGATGGTCCATCAGACGATGATATTTTTATTGAGAAGCCAGAGAATGAGCTAGATAGAATAAAGAAATTGTTAAAGGAGTTGAGGGATTTAAGAAATGAAATAAAAAATGAGAAATTTGTTGCCGATGATACTGGTGTAGGAGACAAGGTGAGCGGAAAAAGAGGGAACAATGTTCTATTTGGTTTAGCAATGATGCATCAGAAGGAGAGACTGTTTTGGAGGCTCCTTTACTATCTGAAGAAGAAAAAATAGGACAAAGATATAAATAATGGGATGAAAGCCTGAATGGCTGCCACAAATTTGGAAGTTGGCATGAAATTTCCATCAAGACAAAAATTCAAGGAAGCATTAAAGGATTGGGCAGTTCGCAAAGGTTGGGACTTGAAGTACCCAAAGATGGAAAAACACGCTGCAAGTGCTACTTGCAAAAAGGGTGTGAATGGTATATTTGAGCATCAACAATCATGAAGGGTGATACATTTCAAATTAAAACACTCAAAGGAGGACACACATTCGCACATATGACAACAACATCACAAGCAGATTTCCAGTATGCATTTTAGTCTTCATAACTTATCCTATATAATTATGTGTTAGTAAATGGTACTGTAATAATTTTATGGCTGCTATAATCTTATTTGGTGAGTTATATTATATCTATTCTTTTTGTGTTACTAGTTCATGAATATATATAAATGTGTGTGTGTGTGTGCTTGGGTGTTCATCAGCTAATAAATAATGCTAGTATAAGTTACAACCTAATATTAAATTATATGTGGATTAAATTAGCTTAATGTAGCCAAGTTGTAATTTATTAAAGAGGATTTAGATGGTATTGCAATGATTTTATGACTGCTATAATACTATTCCGTGAGTGATATTATTTATGTACATTTTTTTTTTGTTAATTTAATGGTTTTTGTGTTACTATATTCTTTTTTTTTTTTTTTTGGAGTAATAGTATTTTTACAATAGGTACTTGGGCAAGAGAATTGTGAATTACGTGAAAGACAATCCTTGAGAGTCTCTGGAGTCTTTATGGAGGAAGATCCGACGAGATGTTGAAGTGAATGTAAGCATCCATAAAGTTTATCGAACAAAGCAGCATGCTATAGATCTGCTGAAAAGGGATATTAAAGAGTAGTACAATAGACTGTATGATTACTGCGAGACGGTATGCAAAAACAACTCTGGTAGTTCTTGTGTATTGAAAGTAGATCGGGATACCCTTGTTGTCATGTCATTGGAGTTTGTGGATATCTACTTCAGCAAATAGATGTACATATACGTGTATAGCCACATAATCAGTCTTGTACCTGGAATGCATGACTTTGAGAAGTCCTCTCTTAGAATTGTTGATCCTCCAATGATAAAGAAGCGAGCTGGCAGGCTAAAAAAAGTGCGACGACCTGATGCAAATGATACCAAAGATTCATCGAAGGCAACAAGAAAAGAGTTAACTCATACTTGCGCTATATGCCTTGAGCAAGGCCATAACAAAAGAAGCTGTAAAAAGACACCACACCCAAATTACAGATTTGCAAAGGTAATATTGTAAGTTACTGCTTGAATTATTAAGTGATGCATGCTTAAGAAAACACTAATATGTATTCTATAGGGACGAGGTGAATCATCTGCTGATGTTAATGGTCCAGCTCAGCCCGAACAGACCACGACCTGTGATGGACATGATCGACGGGTTAGTATACCTTCAACTAAAATAATATATTGTTACAAATGATCGTTAGATATTATGCTTGCAATTTTTCATGAATTTTCCATACCTACTAATCCAATGTGGAAAAAAAATTACTCTTGTAAAAGAAAGATGACTCACACTAGCGCATAAGACACGAGAGTATCTTCACCAATACATGCTCAGGTTACTGATTTACTACCTTATGGAACTATCTATGTTGGAGAAATACAATAGATTGGAAATTTAATATCGTATATTTTTTGTGAACCGATACAGGAGGACTCTCAAATCGCTATTCTTGGAAAAGTTGGGACAAATGTTCAGGCCACAATTTCTACGCAATCAACCGACCAAGTTAGGATAGAAGCTACCGATTTTGATCAATGTCAAACAAAAGTAAATATAATTTCCGAACTTTGTAGTTACCTGCCCAAGTAATAGCTTTATATTCCCTAAATTTTAATTATATTTTTTTATTTCATAGGAGCAGCCCTCAAAAGTTCCCCGAAAATAGAAAAAAAGCCCATATCGACGTTCCGAAGCCAAGGAAATGCGATTATCACATTCAGCTCTCAGTCTTTAATGGTTTTGCCACGCCTAAATATTAGAATTCAACTACCTGGATCATCATTTGCATCCAGGTTACATGCATTAAGGTTCTCTTACAAGCCAAGACAACCTAATACCTCACATCAAGGAAATAATGGTCTAAGGTGTGCTACTGGTTCTGAACTGGAGTCGTGCTTGTATTAAATAATGTTAAATGTTTGTTGTTAGTTAGACAATGGCATAGTCTTCTCGTATATGGTTTTTTGGGGCTGATTTGGTTGCAAATTGGCATGTACTTTATGTCATTTTGAAGTATGTTTTTTGTGTTAGCTGTCAGGTAATTAGAACCTCAAACATATGGCATCATGTGCTATGATTTTGAACATATATTATTAGTTTCGATTTGAACTCCTTTGCATAAGAATATGACAAAAGACTGTTGTTTTTCATTCATTTGCCACAATATTAAGGTCATCTCTGGAATTGAATGAATGAAATGTTTCGGAAAAAATGGGAATAATCAAAATATTAGTAGAAGCAACAATTTCCTTATGAATGAATGAGATGTTTGACATAATATATTCATTCGTTCATTATTATTTTCTACGACCAAACATAATAGTATCAAGCACCAAATAACAATACAATAATTTCAAGCACTAAATACAAACAATACAATACTATACAATATTGTTTGATTCAAAATGTAAAGTTCAAAAAAACACAATGATATCATACACCAAACACAAATCATAACAACAATTCAAACACCGAATACAATAGATGTCATAACAATGAAATCCAAAAGATGTCATAACAACAATTCAAACACTGAATACAAGAGATATTTCTAAATACAACACTGAAAAACAAACACCTACTTACATATTACCATAAATGCAAGAGCAACAATAACAAAAACACAAAGATATGTAACCCTATTCGTATTTTTTTTTCCAAACGCTTCATGTTCAACTCTATCACTCTAGCAATGTTGTCCATTTTAGCCCTCTCTATGGCACCATGACCTGCATTCATACTCGTTTCGTGTTTTGACATTACTTCATCTTCTTCGTCAGAGTTAATCACCCCAAACTTTGATCGTTCCTTCTCTTGTGCATTCAAGGGTTCAAGCAAACAAAAAAAAAAAAAAAAAAATCACATTGTTTGATTTTGCAATTGCAAAACAACTTACCTTCGGTGTCTTTGGTAGGCCCAACAACCCTAATAGCAACATAGTTTCCGCATTTACATATTGGATTCTTGGGTGTCTTTGGTAGGCCAAACAAACACCCCCAGTGTCCTCCTCCTCCCTCCTCATTTTTTTTTAAGATTTAAATCTTAAAAATATCAGTTTAGATATTGTAAGAATATGAGAAAATTATAATAAATATTCTCTACCTATGGTCAATTATCACTCTTATCTTTTGATTATCACTCTAGAAAAATATATTTCACAAATATCATTTTTTCGAAATTTTTTTCCTTCGACCATGTGTCAAGTTCAAGACGGATATTATCTCACGCGTGTAGAGTGAGATTGTACTACGGAGGACAAAAATCACAAAAACGTGACACATATGAGATGTATATTGTCAATCTGATAATTAAAAGATAAGAGTGATAATTGATTATTTCTGGCCCTAAAACGCCTAAACGATAATATATATATTTGTGTTTAGACTTGAAATTTGAAAAAATTTGCACGATTCATCTGAAATGACCAAACAGATCAACCAACGACATTATTTTGTTCATCCACAGTCATTTAGGGCCCCCAAAACTCTTAAACACTAAATAAAATGTACACCTATTTTTAAACTCAAAATTACACAGAACTCACACAGTTAATATGAAACAACCAAACGAACCAACAAACGATATTATTTTGTCCATTTGAGGTCATTTAGGACTAAAAGATCCTAAACACAAAAAAGAAACTTACATCTATTTTTAAATTTATAATTACACAAAACTCACACGGTTAATCTGAAACAGCCAAAAAAACCAACCAACAATATTATTTTGTCCATCTGAGGTCATCTACCTAAACCCTAAAAATAATGTACACTCATTTTCAGATTCATAATTACACAAAACTCACTCGCACGGTTAATCCAAAATGACTAAATAAACCAACCAATGATATTTTTTTGTCCATCCGAAGTCGCTTATGGCCTTATAAACCGTAAACACTACAAAAAATGTAATATCATTTTTGGACTTGGAATTGGAGAAAATTTGCACATTTTCTCTGAAACTACCAAACGAACCAACTATCAATATTGTTTTGTCCATATGAGATCGTTTCGGCCCCTAAAAACTTTAAATGCAAAAAAATATACTCATTTTAGAATCTAAATTGAATGGAAGTTGTACGGTTTATCCGAAACAACCAAACAAAATGTAAATCTAGTTTTATAGTCGCAATTAGACAAAATTTGCATGGTATATCTTAAAGGACCAAATGAATCAATCAACAATATTTTCTTGTAAATCCGAGATTATTTTTGGGCCCTAAAAACTCTAGATGCTAAGAAATATAACTCAAATTTTAGACAAGGAATTGAACAAAATTGCACGGTTCATCCAAAACGAGCATAAGAACCAACCACTGAATTTTTTGTTAGTCCGAGATTTTTTAAGACTTGGATTTGGATAATTATCAATCTTACCTTTAATTGTTAGCCTAGTAAAATAAATCCCACATGTGTAAATTTTTTACAATTTTTATCCTCTAGCCACGCGTCAAGTTCATGATTGTGTTGATGCAAGTGGGATTGTGCTACGGATGACAAAAATTATGAAATAGAGACACATTAGGATATATTTTGTCAGGGTGACAATTAAAATGTAAGAGTTATAATTGGTCATAGGTACAAAATATTTATTGCAATTTTCACATAAAAATATACTCCCTCCATCCCAATTCAAAGTACCATTTTCACCATTTTCGTACGTCCCACTTCAAAGTATCAATTTTCTATTTTAAAAAAAGTAATCATATACTAATACCAAAATACTTTAACTCTTACTTAAATTACAAATATATCATTACACATACAATTACTTTATACATAAGTCAAAGGGCCAAAATATCAAACTCTTACATACTTTCACTAACTAATAAACTAATATTATTTTTTAATCTACTACAAAACCCAAAGACCCCTTTTATGGGGGAAAGAGAGAATAACTTTTAGTTTAGATATTGAGAGAAAATGGTTGATATAAAATTCTGTGTTCCTTAAATCTTAAAGTAAAATATTATAATATTTCTTTTTATTTAGAATTTTAATAAAACATAATCAAATTTTCATAAAAAATTTATATTCTTTAATCCAAGTAAAAATAAAATAAAATAAAAATTATAGACAATAATATTGTACAATTCATACATAAATCGAAGTAGTGAGTAAGAGCACGAGGGACCCCTTTATGTAAGAGGCTTGTGAACTTTGAAATTATTTTTTACCCTTTTGCATATTTATAAGAATATTTTCAAAATTTTTAACTATTTATTTATGACATTTTTATAAGTCTTAGGGTGTGTTTGGTTAATGTTTGAATAATATTTTTTTTGTATTAAAAAAATTATTTGATAAAATATAAATAAATATTAATTTAAATATAAAATAAATTTTAAATATAATACGAAAAAAATAAGTATATAATTTGATATTTTAAAATGTAAAAATCCATAGCTAATAAAAATCAGATGAAAAACTACAAGCAAACACAACCTAAACAACTTTTATACTATATAAATAAATTTAAAATAATTCTTTGTAAGTTAGAAGTAAATTTCAATGAGGAAATAATCATATTAATACATATATTTGAGCACTCCAAATAATAGTATATTTATCGCTTGATAAAACTACGTATTTTTTGAATTTTTATGCGAGAAACATCACAATATCTGATTTATGGCATACTTTATTGATTTGTTTCGCTTGATATGATCCAAAGCTCTTTTGTGAAGATTATTGATATTTTTAACCTTCTTAAGCAACGTTCTAGCTCAGAAACAAGTAAGTATCATGAGACGAGTGACGGTGCAACAAATCATGGCGAGCGACGTACTTTCCCCTTGCGCCCGAGCCAGTCAGCCAACCAGACGTCCACCGCCGACGAGCGATGATCCTGAAGTTCCAAAAAATGATTAAGTGTGGATCTTCCAACGATCAACCATCCATTTCCGGCCAGTGACAATAGCATCGCTTGAGTTGTGCCGATGCCTTCCAACCAAGCCAAATCTAGCAAGGCGAGTGAGGAAGATCTCTGTCCAGCCAATGCAGTCATGCAGCCGAGCGAGCAAGCTGGGAGTTATGGCAGTTCCAACCGTTCAACCCACTAACTGAATAACTACTCAGCTGTTGCAGCAACATTTCAGCTGCTCCCAACTGCAACTCTGTAATCTCTCAACTGCCGTGAACTACTGTTTTATAAACACTATAAATAGGGTAGATTTCTTTTGTATATAATATCATATTTGTTGTGATATATCTTCTTGCTTATATTATGTTCAATTTCCGAGAGCTTCAATCATGTAAGGGAGTTTTCTTAGTTAGAGAGGATGTCGGGGCAGTGGAGATTCTCTCCTCCCCTAACCGCCTAGTTTAGTCGTTTTCTAGGCAGATTTACAGCTTTTATTTACTGCTTTGTTATCGCATTCATAATGTAGATTTAAAGTTTTCTTAGAGTTAATTCAATAATCAAGATTTCTTCATCTTCAAATTCATTCCTAATTTCGAGTTTGTATTTGATTGTTTAAATCTAGAAATCTATTCGTTGTGGAAAGTGCATCAGAAGAATTGATTATCAAAGCTTAACTTTGCGTTGTATTCATTAACAGATTTTACGTAGTTCAATGTAGTTAAGTATGCGGGAGCCTTTTCGACCTTCTTAATTTGTTCTAAATTCAATTTCGGTTAAAGAGAGGTATTAGAAGGGTAAAACCACTAATGAAATAGATTTTCAGAATGATTAATTGGACATAGGCGTTTGTCTATCGAGTCTCAGAAATGTCTAATGACAGTAGCTTTTCTTGTTTATAATGTTATGAATTTGGGTGTCATTGAAGTCCTATTGTAAATCCCTTAAGGTCAAGTACCAACGAGTCAAGAATATGGTTTAAATG